CCCACCAAGTTACCACCTCCAATTCCAATCCATCTCAAAAAACGAGACCACATTGTGTACATATTTCATCAACTCTACAAGATAGACACATTTTGATCTTGAGCAAATAAAAACAGAAATAATATATCTATTATCAAAAATAAAGTAAACAAAATGTCTAATATAAGAATTTGGAATTTTAATTTATTTTATTTATTTATTTTTTTAATGTCATTGGCAGCTCATTGTAGAAACCTTGTTACTGGAACCTTCGTCTTACATGTGTAAAGGAGTAATGTTAGAAGTCCACAATTTGGATAATTAAATTTATCTACAATGATGCGGTAAGAGATGTAGGCCATACACAATTGAATTTATGACAAATAAAAAATTGACATGTATCATGTCACATTATTGTGGGAGTTTTTTTTTGTGGGTCTTAAACATTTTTTTGTGCGAAGATCAATGGAGACAGTAAATAAGTTGCATCCCCTTTTGTTTTAGCTGGTTAAATGTGCTTAATTGAGGCCTCAAAAGGAATAAAGAGATGTGGGTTTTGCAAAGGGATGTGAAGGGTGGTAGAGTGATGAGAAAACAGAGGAAGTAGTGCCTTTCAGACGAAAAGACGATAGAGAATAGATGGAGAGAGAAATAGAGGCAACAGTGACGACACTTATGCCATGACAGGGTTGTGGTGATCGGCAGGAACAGGAAAGGAGTTTGGTGGATGTATGGATCTGTAGGTTTCTTGGCTATGGTGGATGAAAGACAGAGCAAGATACTGTGGAAGAATGAGAGGTTGAAGGTGAAGATTGTCTTGGTTTGAGATACGGAGTAGAGATCAGAAAAGAGAGAAAGGCAAAGGGTAAAGGAAAATTTTGTTTTACAAAGGCCACGTTTGTTTGACAGTTAGGTTGGATGTGATCGTTAGTAAAGGGAGGGTTAATGAAGATATTTTTAATGTGAAAATTATTAGTGAGGGTATTAAATAAAATTGTGTTTATTTTGATGATAGTGAGAGTGATGATTAGTGATGGAATTGCTAAATTATTTTTATATAAATTTTTTTAAAAAAATTCTATATTAAATTTTTTTTAAAAATAAATATAATTTAAAATATAAAAAAAAAAAGGTTGTGCTTGGGTAAAAAAATAAAAATAAAATAATACTTAATTCCCTCACTATTTTTTCAACCGCATACCTTCTCTAGTTTTGTTAATCCGGTTGTATAGTGGGATTGTTAATCTGGTTGGACTAATAATCCACTTATAAATTTTCTCAACCGAATATGTTTTCACCGGTCTAACCTCACTAACATTCCAATGCTACCACTCATAGGGGATAACAAACATGGCCAAAGGGTATTCCAATAATTTTATCATTTGAATTAGGGTAAATTACACTGACACCCCCTAAGGTTTATGTTTATTACAGTTTTCCTTTCACATTTTGGAAATTACATCTCCCTTCCTGACGTTTAAAGTTTCATAACAGATCTCCCCCTCTCAACAATTTAATTTTTTTAAATACCAATTTTGTCTTCACGGGGTAAATTACATTGACACCCCTTACATTTTAGAAATTACAATCCCTTCCCTAAAGTTTAAAGTAGCATTACCAATTTCCCCATCGGTTAGTATTAGTTGGAAAAAAAATTAATTGAAAAAATTTTTTGTTAGTAAAATTTTTAAATTTCTATTTAAAAACAAACATAAACTCATTTTTTGAATTTACGTTTTTTCCTCAAATTTACAAACTGAGACAACAATTTATAAACCAAAAAAATTATCAAACAAGTTTTTATGACAATTTTTAGAAATTTTTGCAAATATAAATTGAAAACTGAAAACGAAGTAGTTACCAAACAGGCCTCAGATAGAAAAAAATGTCGTAAAATTAACAAATAATTAAATAAGTTACCAACGTAAGAAATGACTTATAAAAAGATTCTTAGGCTATGTATGATTTGATTTTTAGAAATTTTTTTAAAAAATAAAAAATTAATTTGGTTAAGAAATAAAAAATAAAAAACAATTATCATTTAAGGGTAAAAAATAATTATCATTTTAATTTTTGGGCAGGTTATATACATACGTATGGCTGTTTGAATTTAATTTGTAAAACATTATTTCTAGCCACTCGAAAGATAAAAATTATATAAAAATGATAATTATTTTTTATTTTTTATTTCTTAACCAAATTAATTTTTTATTTTTCTAAAAATCAAACCATATATAGCCTAAGAATCTTTTGATAAGTCATTTCTTACGTTGATAACTTATTTAATTATTTGTTAATTTTACTGTATTTTTACCATCTAAAGCCTGTTTGGTAACCATTTCATTTTCAGTTTTCAATTTATATTTACAAAAATTTAAAAAACTGTCATAAAAACTTGTTTGATAATTTTTTTGATTTATAAATGGTTGTCTCGGTTTGTAAATTGGAGGATAAAACGTAAATTCAAAAAATGAGTTTACATTGGTTTTTAAATAGAAATTTAAAAATTTTACCAACAAAATTTGTTTTCAATTAATTCTTTTTTCAAATAATTTGTTTTCAATTATTTTTTTTTTCTAATAATTTTTTTCCAATTATTTTTTTTTTCAATTAATTTTTTTCCAACTAATACCAACCAAAGAGGCAATTGGTAATGTTAATTTAAACCTTAGGGAGGGATTGTAATTTTTAAAATGTGGGGGGTGCCAATGTAATTTATCTAGTGAGGGCATAATTGGTATTTAAAAAAATTAAATTGCTGAGAGGGGAAATCTGTAATGAAACTTTAAATCTCAGGGAGGGAGATGTAATTTCTAAAAGATGAGAGGAGAATTGTAACAAATATAAACCTCAAGGGGTGTTAGTGTAATTTACCCTTTGAATTAGTAGTTTTATGACTGGGAGATCAGTGATATTTTGATTATTAAAGGGTGATAGTGTAATTTTATAAAAATAAGGGGTGGCAGTTTAATTTACCTTTTTAAAAAGACTATTGATTTGATATTTTCTCAATAATTTTCCGGAATGATGCGCGCATGGGACTTCTGTCTGAACACAACTTTAATCTGTCATCGGAATGTCGTCTTCGATGGGGCTCCACCTGCAAAGACGCGTGATGACTTTCTTAGCTCATTCTTTGAATGTTTTTTTTAGTTGTGGTCATTCTTAGAAATTGATTCATTCCTAATTATTTAGTAATAATTTTAAAGTATTATGAAATATTTGTTTACATAATTTTTTAAATCAATTAGATAGTTAAAAAAAATTGAAGTTTATTGCTGATCAGCTTGTTTCTATGGATATATGACATTAAATTCAATGATTTATTTATTAATTTTTTTGTGTCAAGATAATGATATGATTAATGAAATTATTTGATAAAAATGATAAATTATTATTTTGAAAGATTTTTTTTTTGAAATTTTTTGTTCCATTGTTGCTAGATCTCTGTTGGATCAATGCTAGCTAGAAAAATCAATGAAAAAATGACGGGGAAATTCGATTGAAAAATGGTTGAAAAAGTCACAAATCACAGCAATTGGTGGTGATTTTGATATGAACAAATAGATAATTTGGATGGATAAATAGATAACATGTGAATAAATAAATAATGACACACGTGGACAAATAAATAAACAAATAAATGACATGTGAATAGATATGTGACGAGGATATAAGACAGATAAGTAGATGTATTATGATCTTTCAAATTGGTTTGTCCTTCTAGCTATAAAATAGAGCTTGAGACTATTGCCATTAAAAGTTTAAAATCATAGTTATGGCCCAAGTCTCCTAAAAATTATATTGAGATTATAAATATTTATTTTATTTGTTTTTTATTGATAACCTTATCCTCCGTCATTACCATGATCAATTTTTAATCACAGTTTCTCTCTAGTCTAAATCAGATTAGAGAGTGCTGTTAGGCCTATGTGCGCTCACAACGGAATTCGCATCGATAATTCAAACCGTTCAATGTATAAGACTTACTGAGTATTTCATTCATGCAAAAAAAAAAACACATGATCGAATATCGATAGTCACTTAATTAGATCACATTTGTGTTAACGATAAGTACGATACAAATATGATCTGATTAAGTGACTATCGATATCCCTTTAACATAATTTTTTTTTACAAAGATAAAATAGTCAACGAACACTATATATTGAATGGTTCAGATTATCAATGTAAGCTCCAGGTGAGTCCATGAAGAAAGGAGCATCTCCCTTTTAATAATAATAATATTAGTTTTTAATTTATTTTTATAGTAAATTTATTGCTAGAAAAATTGATAACTTTGGTAAATAATAAAAAGCTAACTTTTTTATTAGTAAAAAAAGTTGAGTGGATTCCTTCATTTTTTTTTTTTTAAACATAAATAGCCGTACTTTTTTTTTTTAATTAAATACTGGTTGGACTTCGTTTGGATTGAGTTATGGGTTGACTTTTTGATTTTTTTAGTTATCTTAGCTTGGGGCTAAAAGGTCTCATTTGTGATAGATTTTTGATTTTTTTGACTTTTGTGAGAGAAAAAATAAAATAATTATAAATTAGATGTGATAATTTATCTTATTTGGCTAAAATAGCCAATTTTATCATTTAGGACTATTTTAGCCCAAACTTGCTTTCCAAACAAGTGACGGTTATTTTTTGTTTTTGAGCTTGGGATTGGCTTCCTTTCCGTCTGTGATCAGACTGAAGGATGTTGTTAGGCCTGTGAGGGCCTACCATGGGTCCCGTTTCAATAATTCAAACCGTTAAATGTGTAGAACTCGTCAAGTATTATATGTCTGTAAAAAATCACCTTGATCGGATATTGATAGCTATTTCATTAGACCAGATTTCTGTCAACTGTTTATTTTTTTATGCAAAACTGATTTGATACATAGCTATCGATATCCAATTAACGTGATATTTTACAGGTATATAGTACTCGATGAGTTCTACACATTAAACGGTTCAGATTATCAAAACATGACTTATGATGATGGACCTCAACAGGTTTATCAACACTCTCTAATCTAATCACGGACTAGAATGAGGCGAAATCCTTTAAGCTTTATATCTGTAAATACTTTCTCTCCCTCATTTTCACAACCCTCTCTCTCTCTCTCTCTCTCTCTCTGAAGAAATCTTTCCCTGCACCCTCTATCTCTCTCACTATCCTTGAAGAAATCCCTAGCCTCCACGCCATTCGCAACACCACCCTTGAAGACTCGAAATTGTGGTTCACAAGAAAAGCTCGTGGTGAGTTCCTTCATATTTTTTTATTTTATTTACTTATTTGTAGCCATGGTTATGACTTACATATATTTACAAAAGGGCCTATCTTAGATCCATATCGTCTTTAGGTTTAGCTTTGCTATTCTTTTATTTTTCTTCAATCATGACTGAGATTTACGTGGTTTTTTTGTTTATATTTTTGTGACTGTGAATTCAACACTTTTCTGTTCGTTTGCATTTTTATTCTCTGTTTTATATTTTATTTATTTTTTATAAAAAATACAAAAAAAAAAATTGTTTGGCGCGATCTTTTTTTTTTTTTATAACTATGTTTTTAAAATCTTTTCGAAAATTATCCACTTTTTAAATATATATATATATGTTTTAACTTTTTTTTATTTGAGCTCAACTTGATAAATTTAAAATTATATAAAAATATCAGACTATTTTAGTTCAGTTGAACAAAATCTCGTTTGAAATCAATTTGAAAGTTTAACAAATCAAATTTAAACAAATTTTAAAACTTATTAAAATTTTCAAACCAAAATAAAATAGTAATTGTTCAGTTTATTGGACTCGTTTGTCACCCTTACTCCATCAATAGACTAACTATTCATGACAAATAAATCAATAAAGGGGAAGATTCTCGCTTATCCTAAAATAGAGGCACTGTTGGGGCTCCGAGGTCGACCACGAGTATTATTTTGACACTGAATTGTTTTTTTTATTTTATTATGTCGATATATCTTTTATAAATATATATATATTTTTGATTATATTTGTTTTAAAATTGGTAAATTACACTTACCTACCTAGAGATTTCTGACAATTATAAGAGCCTTCATATAGTTCGAATAATTGCAGAAACTTTCCTTATTTTTACTAAAAATATCAAGAATTTCTCAATCTGTTAAGTTGGTACAACGTTATTTGGTGTGAAAACGGCTATATTACCTTTTGGTTTGTACGTGAAAAGACAAAAATACTCATAAACTAAGAAGCTTTATTCATTATTAATATGAGTAAATTACATTTACACCCACTAAAGTTTTGCATACATATTATTAAAGACTCATAAATATTTAGCATTATTTAATAAAATTCTTAAATTTATGCAATACTAAGGCCCCGTTTGGTGTAGCTGTTAAAACAATTTATAGATTACAGCTTAACAGATTATAAATTATGACTTTAATCAGAAGTTGTTAATCCGTTTGGTATAGCTGTTGGATTATAGATTTAAGTTGCTGAGTAGTGTTTGTTAAATAAGCTGTGAAATAGCTTTTTCAATTAATTTTTATTTTTTGTTTGTCTACATTTCTCATAAAAAATTATAATAATAATCTATAGTCCATTTGAGTCTTTTTCTATTTTTAAAAAAATAAAAAATAAAAAAATTTAAGAGTATAACCATAAATTAACATGTCCATAGCAGAAGCTGATAATCAGAAGCAAGGGGTGAGCAGCTTCTCAGAATCAGCTTTTTTGAGTTAAAATAAGCTGTTAGAATCAGAAGCTGTTTGAAATAAGTTTAACCAAACAGTCCAAAATAACTTTTTCAAAGCTAAAAGCCATAAGTTAACTCTGAAAAGTTGAAACAAACACCCCCTAAATAAAACCCTTAAATTGTTAAGATATTATTAAAACATTTAACAGAAAAAAAAAATTTAATTTTTATCGATAAAATACTTAAAAATAGACAATCTCTCTACAATTAATGTTAGATAATATCTTAATAATTTAATATAAGACTTATTTCATACATAAACAACGTAAATTTTATTATTTTAAGCAATGCATTTATTATTTGAATTTTTTTTAAGTTGAAATAAATGAATTTATTTTTTGGACAAATTACACCGGTAGTCCATATATTTTACTTCTTGTATCATTTTGGTTATTACACTTTCAATTGACTCAATTTTAACCCTTAATTTTAGATTTTATTTCAATTTGGTCTAATTAATAATATTGTTACTATTTTTTAAAGAAATTATCACTAAATTGGTTGAGGTTAACTAGCTGAATTGAGCAAGTTTATAATTTTGCCTTAAAAAAAAATGCGCGTATTTTCTATAAAAAAAAAATGTTAAGAGTTGTAATTAATTAGACCAAGTTGAGATAAAATCATAAATTAAGGATCAAAATTGAGCTAATTGAAAATACAGAGATTAAAATGACACAAGGGGTACGTAAAATATAAGGCCTACCGTCGTAATTTACCCTTTATTTTTTTCTCAACAATTTGTATTACTTATTTATGTATATATAAAAAATTATTATTTTATCTTTTCTCAATCGTATATTATTATCAAATTTGAATTTTTATATCTTTGAGTCATTAAACTTGAAGTCGATGTATATTTAGAAAAACGCAAGTTAATATTTCTTATATGATTAAAAAAAATTAAGAAATAAATATAGAAGTAAATCCCTGAGATTTTTGACAATTAAACCAAACTCATTTATTATCAACATTAATCTTAACCTTAAATGCATTAAATTTAATCTACCCTAGTAAATATATATGAAATTATTATTTATTTTCTTAATTTTTTCAAAATATAAATGTAATATGTTGATTCTATTTTTTTCACAAAAAGTTTTGAACTTTTGTAAACAAAAAAATAAAATAAAAATTCAACCCTTAATGAAGGTGAAAAATTAATTTTAAGATTTAATTTAATAAAAATAGTTTACATGAGATAAATAAAGATGGAGAAATAGATTTGAAGTATCATAAATAACAAATTAATTTAGTATATATTTTATTATTCTCTAATAATTTATCCATTAAAGTAAAAATTAATTTTAATTTTAGGTGTAAGAAATGATAAATTGTTTGAATTGTTTATTATTCTCAAATGATTTATTGATCTTTTATCCTTATTAACTAATTTTAATTTATTGTGCGGTGATTATATTGTTTTTTACTTCTATATTTATTTTAATTTTTTAAAATCATTTAACCTGTGTTTTTTTAAATATGTATCGACTAGAAGTTTAATGACTCAAAGGTAAAAATTAAAATTTGAGAATAATATATAATTGAAAAAAGATAAAATAATATTTTCTTTTACATATGAATAGTAATTCAAGTTGTCGGGAAAAAAATAAATCAATTTATTTCAACTTTAAAAAAAATTTAAATATTAAATGCATTACTTAAAATGATAAATTTTAAATCTTATATTAAATTAGGATGTTATCTAATATTAATTTTAGAGAGATTACTTATTTTAAAGTATTTTATCAATAAAAATTAATTTTTTTTTCCATAGAATGTTTTAACAATTTATGGGTTTTATTTATTATTGCATAAAATTTAATAATTTTATTAAATAATGCTAATACATATATATATATATATATGAATCTTTGATAATGCATATGCAAAATCTCAGGAGAGGTGAGTGAAATTTCTCATTTGAATAGATGAGGTAACTAATGGGCTATTTCATCTTTTTTGGTATTATAACCTATGGTATCAGCAAATTCTGTTAAATAGCCTAATAGAGGGTAATAGTAGGAGAATCTTGATAATAGTTTCAAAAGTAAGAGAGGTTAGTGTAATTATTGAAATTATAAGGGAAGTTCAGAAACTTCGAGAGAGATAAGTGTAATTTACCTTTTTTTAAAAAATAGATAGTAAAGATAATTTTTAAAATAATCCATTTTTTTAAAAGAAAAATATGACAATATCGTGACCTATATTTATTGAATCAATGTAATTATACATTTTGTGGTTCAAAACTTCTATGAAAAAATGTGTAATATTGTTATAAACTACATAACTTCATTTTTGAAATAATAATTATCAAAATTCAATCATAAGATTACGTAACATTTATTAAAAAAATGTGTAATATGAGTCACAAAAATACATAATAATGGGCGTTTAATATATTCATTTTATGATTGTGCATAGAAGGAATTTCTATGAATTGGGCAGAAATCCATCCCATTAATCTAAAGAGCAAACAAATAAATTAAAAAACTAAGGGTGTGTTTGGTAACGTTTACGTTTTCAGTTTATATTTATAAAAAAATTATAAACTGGTTTTTGTTTATTTTTTATTTATTTTTAGAAAAACAGAAACTACAAACGCGTTTGGTTTAGACAAAATGTTTAAAAAAAATTAAAAATATAAAAAAGAATAAGAAATGGCAAGTGGTGGCGGGTGGTGGGTGGTAGCGAGTGGGTGGTGGTTTGTAAATATAAACAGAAAATTAAAAACGTAAGTGTTACTAAACGGCACCTAAGCATTTCGTAAACCATTTAACGCGGTCATTTAATCAGCTGACACTAACAAATATTTTAACTTGTCCATTAGAAACCCTAGCATGTAGTAGGCACTGTTTGGCGCAATTGGTGATTGCTCAGTAGTATTACATCGCTTCCTTTGTCATCCACTTCAGACGGCTCCCTTTTGTTCTTGTTGTGCTACTTCTCAAATCCAAGGTACCAAAACAAAAATTAAAAATTTCAATTTGCTTTGACTTACCATTCTGTTTTATTCTATTACAACTACTTTGCTTCGACCTGTCCCTTTTGGATTTTCACTGTGTATTGCTTCTTAATTTGTCTTGGATTTTCATTTTTTTCTGATAAATATAAAATATATATACAAGCAATGAGAAGAAAATGTATAGATATTCCTGTAATTTATTATTATTATTATTATTATTGGGTTCTATTACCCATAGAATTGAATATCTAGCCTCTACTCTTTCCTTTCGAAAAGGAAAATGCACATGGAGCACTGTCTTTTTAAATTGATAAAGACAAAGCAGGTAATAAACATTTTTAGACAATGACGATACGAACGTTTACTTTTTAGGAATTGTTGAGTAGAATATTCATATAAAAAATTAAGATGATCAGATTTTGATAGTTAGATATTTGAATCAAATTTGTATTACAAAAAATGAATGGTTATTCTTACAATTATATTTATCGTTCATTTTTTTAAAAACCAAATATGATACAAATATATAGCTACCGATGTCCAATCATCTTGATTTTTTTACACGAATATTCTACTCAACGAATCTTAAGAAGTGAACTATTCGGATTATTAAAATTGATTCCAAAATGTGGGTCTATTAAACCTAAATATGATCTCAAATTAAATGACAACTTAAGAAAAGTCAAACGAATTATCAACGGGAATTCCATAGTATGGTTGAGTAAATTGAAAATTCATGAACGACTAGATTAGGTTGGCGGGACTTTCTAGACCTATTTATTAAATAAGTTCAATTTAAAAAAAATTAGAGCAATAATTCTAACGTTTATTTTGTTGGGACGGAAAGGACAAAACAATTTGAAAAGAACATATTATACATATTTATATGTCAATTTGTCCACTGTCAGCCTATCATAACTTATTTTTCCAAGTGTTATCTATTTGTTCACCTATTTGTCCAAATGTTATCTCATTTATTATCATGTTACCTATTTGTCTATCTAATCTATCTATTTGTTCACATTTTTGTCAATAGTAAATATGATTTTAAAAATAAATTGTTAATAAAAATGTGTTCAGATCAAAGGACTATCAATGTCCGATCAACGTGATTTGTTGCAAAAATAAAGTACTTGACGAGCTCCACACATTAAACAATTCGGATTATTGAAACGGGACCATAGTGGGTCCAACAATATGCTCCAATCCACTATGTGGATTAGAGAGAAGTCATCTCCATTAACTAATATGAATGAAACCGGACATCTAAGTTCTTATCAATAATTGAAGAAATAAAATGAAAACGATTCCAATTTCACATCTTAAAATGAAATAAGCGTATTAGAATCGGTAAAATTCTATGTGATTTGGAGTTAGAAGTTCCCATATTAGACTCTTGTTTTCTGCTTTCTTAAAATAATTTTTTTTTGATAGTTTGTTAAAAATAGAAAGAGAAATATATTTATGGTTCTTAAAATATGCGGTTTTGTTTAAATTTTATTTTATTTTTTTTCAATTTTGTCTTTAAATTTTTTTATTTGATCTAATTTCAAATGGACAGTTTAAATAGTTAATGGAATGATAAAAAATACGCATATAGTCTCAAGTATGTGTTCCGTGTCACTTTAGTCCCTAAAATTTGGATAAATTACACTTTACATCCTTACACTTTGTACCAAATATAACTTTGATCCGTACATATGAAATCGTGACAGTCAACCCCTGCACTTCTGGTCAAATTCCACTTTAGTCCCTATACATGAAATCGTAACACTCAACTCCTTACACTTATAAGATCTTGACTGTTAACTCTCTACACTTCTAGTCAAGTGTCAATGTTCTCCTTTTGTTACTCCACCACATAAGTCTTTAATAGAAGTCAGTAATGTGACAAATACATGACTACAAAATGAGGGCAAAAGAGAAAAATCACCCAAATTTCTTGTCTCTACACATTTCATTCCAAAATTTATATTAAATTTTGACTGTATTCAATTACAACAAAACGTAAATTGTGAACGATTATAGAGATGAACTAAGGTTTTGCAAACATTAGAATCATAAAACTCTGTTTTTTTATAATAACATAGTCTTCTGTCTATTCTTTTATTTCTCTGCTTTATTATTATTATTATTATTATTATTGTTATTATTTATAATAATTTCAATAGGTTTGTTTTCTTGTCTTTTTGTCCCAAATTTCAGCGTATGAACATATATAGATTGTATTATATAATTGAGAGGGGAATTTGTGCTGAGATATTTGGGCGAGCTAAATCAGGCCTTTGTTGTAGGCGGGGCTATGGACTTCAAGGTTGTATGGTTTGGGCCATATAGAGGAGGTCTGCCATATATTTATTTACTACATAACTCACATCAATCTAGGTTTGCCCTTTTTCCTAATACTTTCATCTACCGTCACTGTATCGCATCTCTTCACTACTGCCTCTGTTGGTTTCCATTGTATATGACTAAACCATCTCAATCTATTCTCCATCAACTTAGCTTCTATCGGTACTACTTTTACCCATTCTCAGATATACTAATTTCTAACTTTGTCTTTTTTAGTCTTGCCATACATCCACCTTAGCATCTTCATCTCAGCAACACTCATCTTATCTATGTATTTCTTATTTTCCCAACATTCCATCCCCTACAATATCGCTGGCCTAATAGCCGTTCTATAGAACATAACTCACATCAATCTAGGTTTGCCCTTTTTCCTAATACTTTCATCTACCGTCACTGTATCGCATCTCTTCACTACTGCCTCTGTTGGTTTCCATTGTATATGACTAAACCATCTCAATCAATTCTCCATCAACTTAACTTCTATCGATACTACTCTTACCCATTCTCAGATATACTAATTTCTAATTTTGTCTTTTTTAGTCTTGCCATACATCCACCTTAGCATCTTCATCTCAGCAACACTTATCTTATCTATATATTTCTTATTTGCCCAACATTCCATCCCCTACAATATCGTTGGCCTAATAGCCGTTCTATAGAACTTTGTTTTTAGTCTAGTGGGTACTCGTTTATCGCATAGTACTCCAGATGTACTCATCCACTTAAGCCACCCCGTCTTAATTCTATGGATCACATCCGCTCCAATCTCTACAGTGTAGACGTCTCCGAACGTCCCGGGGGAGATCCCCCCTTCCGGTTTTGTTCATCTTGGGCTTACTACAGTTCGGACTCAAATGTCACGGTTCTGAATCTAGTCTCGCAAAGTGCAATGCAAGACCGATAAATCACCAAAGAGTCCAAATCCGGCAAATCGTTTTGGAAAACATATTTTTAAGAAAGAAGTGCCAAACGTGGACTGCTTTGCCAGATACAGAGTCGCCACCTAAATGTTTTATTTTTGGAAAATTTAGGAAACCCAGACTCGTGCCTACGGCCACGTGTCCATCATCACCAAAGTTGCCTCGGCTCGAGAACTTGGGTACGATTGGGGAAGGTCATCTATGAGCACCCCCGCTCGCCCCGATCAAAGATCGGCCACTACTAAACATGATATCTTATTTTTGAAAACACATGTGCTCTTATTCCGGTTAATTAGCTAATCTTTACTACGTGATGCGCACAACAAACAAGTATAGACTAGATCGCCTAATTTGGAACAAAGCATTGCATATCCGTTTTGTTTGGAAACGGTTTGAAGTTTGCTACTCGCAAGTAGGCTAAAACATGGATTTCAATGAATTGTTCCAATTCAAGCAATCTAACCTTCACCCACAAGCATTCAGGCAGTTATATCACATAAGCAATTAGCCTCATGGCAAGCATGCTGTCATGTTAACACTCACATATATGCAAGATGCTAAAGCATAAACACTCACAGTGTACTCCAAGCCAAAACAAAGAACTAGTTAGAAATCATGCATGACCCTAGTTCATGTCAACAATGGCTAATGCATCACATGCAAATGCAACTAGAATAGGCTCGACTAATCTAAAATGGCATATGAGATGCGACAATTTGATACATGTATTCAACTTTGAATTGAAATACGATACGATTAGTATGATGCGCCGAGCCCGGTGCATGCAATACAAATGGATGGATGCACGCATGCAAAGCATAAGGTATGCTAATTGAAAATGCCCTAAAACTAATCATCATAAGCTGATAAATAAAAGGGAGAAAGACGTGGGGTTGGAAGACATTCACACACTCACGCACACTTATTACAAAATTTTCCCTCTCTCGGAGGGAGCGAAATAATAATACAAATTAACTAACTAATAAAGCTATTTAATTATTACACAACACTTAACTAATTAAACAAATTAATTAAACTACGAAAGCAGTAAAGAGGCCTCGGGAAGAGGGATGAATGCATGCATGCTCGGCTCCGCTCGGAAATCCATCGCCATGTCGCATGCTACCTCTGTTTGCACTGCTCTGCACCTTTGGAAACTGTACAAGTCTCAAGGATGCTTCTAAACCACCCTCTGGACACTGTAGGAGGTCATCAACCAAGAGATGAGGCCATCGGCCATATGAAACTGGTCCTCGACCATGTGTGAAGCCATCGGCCAACAATGAACAGCCGGCCGGCACTAAAGATGGCCGACTGACTATCTCTTCCTCCAGAATGCTATTTTTGCTGTAGCAGAGGACAAACAGAGCATGGCAATGCATTTTCAAGGCAATGTTTGCACCACCTCTATCATGGTTGATCAAGAGGCAAGGGATGTAAACATGCAAGCAAAACTATGGCAACATGAGCATGTTAATGACAATGCCATACAAGGCTAATAGTAACAAGCATGTCAAATGCAATGCAACCTAGACAAACATGCAAGGCATGTGACAACATTCAAGCATGTAACAACGTGTGAGATAGACATGTAACAACATATTAAGCAACTTAAAAAGAGATGCATGCCAAATGCAATACCACTTAAACATGCAACAACATGTTAATAGGCCAAGTATGTAACAACATGCAGGGGATGTACTTAAACCAATATGGGCAGC